TGTATATATATATATATATATATATATACAATATGGTGCTTCCTTTTTGAAGATCCCTCTCCCATTAACTGTAATTAAATACGTGAATGACAGTATATTTTAAATAATGTCTCCTTTTACAGAAGAAAGTCTAATGGGTTAGTGAGTAAATGATTAATTAAATTAAATAAAAAAAATTTGGGTAAGATATTCCTCTATGCTTTACAAAGGCAAAATCAGCTGAATGGGATCTGTATGTGTATCTGTAGAATTGAAGTCTCACTAGAGTCTGTTGCAGAGATGCAGGGACGTCACGCCGCACCTTCTTGGGTTTTGCACAGTACGACTCCAAATGCTGGAGGTCACATCCACGCACACAACACTGCTCTACGATCCCTTTCCCTTGAGAGCGAGGACCGCCGCTACGGGCTGCTCCAGGTTTGCCTAACCGCCAACAGACACAAAGCAAAATGGTTTTAATTCCAGTTACATTAATGTGAGTTAGCTGCAACTAGCAAACTGCCAAAATGGGGTCGTGCAGGACAAATTATGCCTTGTATTCTCTAAAAAATAAATCATGCGCTTAATAAAACTACAATTGAACACACAAAAGTTAAAACATTTGGGGTCAGTTAATTTTTTATTTATTTATAGAATTTACTTTTATTCAGTAAAGACTCATTAAATTGATCAAAAGTGAGTTAAGACATTTACATAAATATATCAAATGTAAGAAAATCAAAATAATCAGAATGTATATATCAAATAAAAGCATCACAGGAATAAATTACATTTTCAAATAGAAAACAGCTATTTTAAATTGTAATAATAGTTGACATTTTTACTGTAATTTTAATCAATTAAAAAAACTCTTGAATGGCATGTATATAGTTTATGTAGCCCACTATTAGGATTGAAATTGTTTGTCAAATTGCTGAAATAAGATATTGTAAGACCGTGTCATAATGTTCCTTTTGAGAAAAGGAGTGAGAAAATGAGAGAGAAAAGTGTCAAGGTGGCCTTGAATATGGAACAGGGTGAAAGGACCTCAGTTAGCAGAAATAAAAAAATGTTGATATCAACACCCACAAATCAAGAGTACATGTTGGTGTGGCAACTTATGTCATTTAAATGTTTCATATCAAAAACTATAACTTCACACCACCTACAACAGCAGATGATTACTGTTTGCTATTGGTTGGTTGATTTGCATCAACACCATAATGATAACGGCTTGTCTTGATAACACTGTCTGTATCTTCAGGGCAAGGCCACTTTTAATACACTGATATTAAGTGTTATGAATATAATGTTATGAGTGAGCTTAATGATTTAGAGACATGCAAGTCACTGTGCTCCAACCAAACGGTACATGATATGTAACCATGTCAGGGTTTGACTCACACAATTAACACACGTTTGAAACCAGATTTGTTTCTACAGTATCCAACCACAGGATTTTAGAAGTGTAAGATGAAGTTTGTAAGTGACTCTCACCTCTGTAAAAGCCACGGTCCCCACACACAAACTCCAGGTCAGCAACTAGTTCTCGTCCACAGCGTGCTTTGGCAGCCTCGGCGGCGTCTGGCAGGATCAGGACGCAGTACAGGGAATAAAGGACACACACACTTCGCCAGCTGGGCACCTGCTTCACCAGAAACAAACTCTCAGCCACCTGCATCTTATCAGACAGATACACTCCTTTCTGTCAAAGCAATGGATACAATGCTTGATGGATGACGCTCTGAATACATTTTGTTTTGCAAACCTTATTGATTTGAAAGCATGTACGAAAAGTCCAGATGGCTTTGCTCTGCATGCTTTGAATACAGATTGCATGTTGCCTTACACTCATAAAAATAAAGGTTCCAAAAGGGTGTTTTTAGAATCTTTCGATGAATAGTGCTTTTTTCCCTGTAGAACTTTTTCCATTGTAAAGAACCTCCACTGATGTTCAGGGTCTTCATGGAACCATCAATTCCAATAATGAACCTTTATTTTAAGACAAAAAAACTGCTGACTCAGAAAATGACCTTTTGCAATAGCATAAACTGTTTTGACCTTTTGATATGATGGCGTGGATTGCAGAGCTATATTTTTCTACATCCCACACGACAAATTGACGTCATAATAGCTCCCTAACATGCAAACCTGCATTGGGGGCAGTAATTGTTAGTCACAAAAAGGTAATTTGACTCATCCATAGAAACTAGTCATTTAGCAAAAAAGGAAAGTTTTTTTTTTTTGACTAACTTTTATGGAGCATCGAGTATAAATGCCCCAAAATAAGGTAAAAAAAACAGCATGAAGTGTTTTTTTCTCCCTAATTCTATCTACACCCAGATAATGTGCAACAGGTGTAGTGGTCCTTAATATGAAAGCCTGATCCTGGTGCCTCCCACTACAATACAATTTTTCTTATTGGGGGCAGTAATTGTTAGTCACAAAAAGGTAATTTGACTCATCCATAGAAACTAGTCATTTAGCAAAAAAGGAAAGTTTTTTTTTTTTGACTAACTTTTATGGAGCATCGAGTCTAAATGCCCCAAAATAAGGTAAAAAAACAGCATGAAGTGTTTTTTTCTCCCTAATTCTATCTACACCCAGATAATGTGCAACAGGTGTAGTGGTCCTTAATATGAAAGCCTGATCCTGGTGCCTCCCACTACAATACAATTTTTCTATGTAAGTGCATGTGGAGTCTTACTTTCAGCAGGAATCCTCTTAGCATCTGAAGCCGTCTGGCATGACAGGTTGGCATTCCGTCTGATGGCATGTCTATTTTTTTATGGTTTGGTCTCTCTAAAGAGCTACTGACGTTTTTACTTGGGTGTGCTCTTATAGGAGGACCAGGAGGGGACGGGCCAACTGCACACACACACACACACACACGGAAACATCCTAGCCTTCCTCTACACACAGACAACTCCTAATCGCAAAGCCTGTCTTTTATTGGAGACGCATGAAACTACAAAAGAACTCTGATTAATAAACAACAACAAACTAAAACTGACATCCTAATGTCATCCATCTGAGCGTTTATAGCTCAGTAATGTAAAAGGGATGAATTTATCTGACAGATATTATTCATTTAGAAATCCTTCATTGTGTACAAGCATATACAGCTTTGAATTGTCATCATTATCTTATATAACGCTGGTTTGGAGATTTTATGCAGCATGACATTGAAATCCATCTTAAGAGTGACGACAATGGAGGAAGAAGTTATCGCAAGTATATCTCAGCAAGAAGCCGGTTAAGTGATTTTGGAGTGTGTAGGCTTCAGCTGGAATGATAAATGAAACAAAGATAGATGTAGGAACGCATTCAGAGCCAATCAGATAGAATGCACTTACAGATAAAATAAAGACAAAACGTTATGTTAACAGTCAGATGTGTGGGTACATTATTAACTGGCGGTACGATGTACAGCAGTTGGTTTACATAATGAAATGACTAATGCTCAGTATGACATAAATCCTTTTATTTGAACTGAGAATGAATGAAGCATTTTAATTTTAGCAGCTAAACCAAACATTGCTATTCACAAATTATTCACCGTATTTATTGCACAAACACATAATATTCTTAAATGTGTCTCTTACGGTGTGAAAATTATTATTTTGCATTTATATTTGAATTAAATGACAATATTTGTGCTGTCAAATAATGAACAACTGAACTAACAAACTTATTCATCTTAAAGGGATAGTTCACCCAAAAATGGAAATTCTGTCATCATTTACTCACCCTTAAGTTGTCCCAAACCTGTGTACATTTCTTCTGCAGCTGAAAACAAAAGAAGATATTTTGAAGAATGTGGGTAACCACACAGTCCCCTTTGACCTACATAGTATGGGGACCAGCAACTACCCACATTCTTCAAAAATATCTTCTTTTGTGTTCAGCAGAAGGAAGAAAGTCATTCCGATTTGGAACAACTTCAGGGTGACTAAATGACTGAATTTTCATTTTTGAGTGAACTATTCCTTTAAGCTTTATGACGTTCTTCTGCTGCTCAAATAATATGATGCACAAGGAACTTTTATACCTCCTGAACAGACATCTTTGGCACAGTCGGATCCTCTAAATCTGATCCGTCGGCTTTAAGTTAAAGATGCTGAGTGATGCTTCCTTCTGTCTCAGCCGAGCTCGTAGGTGGTTGATTCTCTCTTCCTGGGCCAACTGTTCAAAATCAAATGCAAGACAGCTCTCAGCCCTGGGGAGCAATGTGCCCTCTAAACGCTCATTGTCATCCTCAGATGTCTCTCTTTGTCCTCCTGCTGCTTCGGGCTGTTCTGAGATGCTAGAAGATGTGTGGTTGATCTGCTGGAGGATACTGGGCAGGGAACTAGACGTCTCCTGACCAGACTCCAGATCCTCAGGAGATTTAGGTGTGCTACTCCGTGACCTGGACTCTTCTTCCTGTGAATTCAAAGGGAAAATTCATTAGGTGTTGAAAGATTTAAAACATTACTTAATCACTTTTAAAGTCGTGAACAGTTTGTTTTTATACAGATTTATAGGTACTGTAAGGGATTTCAGTCCGAAAAAGTATGTCCAGATCAGGGAGAGTCGCCATACCCTAGCCTCCCCCGATTGACAGGCCTTTTGACACTCTTTGTCTGTACAGCATTGTTCAGGCATTTCTTCAGAGACTTTGTGCAAAAGAGGTAAAATCTGTGTGTTAATGTCAAGATCTCTGACTGGAGTCTGAACATCCTGACTCTGTGGATTGGAAAGAGACATGCAACAATCAGAAATGTATCAAAAGCCTAAAGCAAATAATGCACAATATATCACAAACAGTAAAGTGAATCATTAAAAAAAAAAAATCTAAAAATCACTAGAAAACCTTTATAGCCAAGTAAAGTAAAAATGGTATCATACATTAATTTATCTGACAGATCATTTATGTAGAGGCATAAACAGCTTTAAATTGTCCTCATGATCATATTTGAAGCCACTTTAAAGATTCCCTGCAGCATGACAATGAAATCCATCTTAAGAGTGATGATAACAGAGAAAGAGTTATCATAAGTGTATCTCTACAGAAGACAACACTGTCTTTATTCAGCTCAAGTCAGTTCAATGTTCATTCGATTCAGTTCAATAACAGTGTCGATGTTGCAAAGTTAGTGTCATTATCCAGCTTATTTCAGCTCTAATTTTGTTGTCATGTGACACTGTCAGTGCAGTTAAAGGGATAGTTCACCCATAAATAAGAATTCTGTCATCATTTACTTACCCTCCAGTTGTTCCAAACCTGTATAATTTTCTTTCTTCTGTATGAAAAAAAAAATACTATGGAAGTCAATGGCTACAGTCAACTGTTTGGTTACCAACATTCTTCAAAATATCTTTGTTTTGTGTTCAACAAAAGAAAGAAACTTATACAGGTTTGGAACAACTTAATTTTAATTTTGGGGTGAACTATACCTTTAAATCTACAATATTACAAATTAATATTAATTCAAATTAATCAGAATCACCATGATAACTTCACATTTACACCTCCTGGCATTCATACCTTTTCTCAAGACAGACTGAAAAATATAATAAAAGAGGGAAATGTCCTACCTTGCTCTGCTGTGGTCTGGGTGACGTTTCCAGGGGTGTTTGTGCTTGACATCTAGATGTGTTTAGTTGGATCTGTTGACTGGGAGTAACAGGACACACACCTGGAGGTGCTGAGGGAGAGTTTTGTAATCTCACTCGCCTCACTGAGAGGAAGATCTGGCCATTATATAGAATCATGGCATTTCGCCGAACATCAGAATCCCTGATGCTGGGCAGAGAGGCAGCTTCATTTTCCAGCCCGGAAAATTGTATTTTAGGCTTATGTGCTTTTAAAATCGTTCTTAAGGCCTTAAAGGCAGTGATGCTGGAACTCACAACAGGCAGCAAAAACTGACCTGGAGTTATTTTGGAGATCAGTTGCCTCTGGCTCAGTGGGACCAGTTCTCTGCTGTCCTTGCCCACAGCCACTTCTTTTTCCCGCAGCTCAACCGGACAGATCCACGTCACAGTCTGCGGCATCTGTTTCTCTGATCCATGTGGAGACAGAGCGACACTGATCTTCCTGGCTGTGGAGCTGGACAGGGACTGCAGAGGCATGTTCTTGACACATGCTTCCTTGGGAATGTAAACCACAAAGTTCTCCATGACATTCAGGAGAGTTTGAACCTGTGGGATTGGTTGAATAAAGCTTTCATATTATTGCAATCTGCTGTTTTATGTACGAGTATTTTATATCTGCACATTTCTTCACTAAATACTTAACATGTAGAGGTGGCAAAAATGACAGCGATATGACTTTTTAAAGACAACGGTATATTAATTTATTATATTTTTACAGTGTCAACCAGTGTTGGGGAAAGTTACTTTTAAAAGTAATGCGTTACAATATTGCGTTACTCCATAAAAAAGTAACTAATTACGGTACTTAGTTACTTTTTATGGAAAGTAATGCATTATGTTACTTTTGCGTTACTTTTTAAATCTGGACAGGGCTTCCTTGTTTGTTTTAAAAATAAAAAAGTTGTATTTTTGGCAAATACTGTATAAAAGCTTTTTCACACCAAAAGTGAAATGAATAAGCCTCAGGCTGAAAGGAAAGTACATTTATGTCCGTACAGTAGAATGCAGAAGAAGACATTTCAACACACTTCAGCAATAAAAAAAGACACACAAATGTTCGTCTAGAGTAATTTGTGCTTATTAGTACGGTTGAACTGGATCATCGAAGGTCAGAAGCAAAGACATTG